GCACTTTAAGACATTGCCACGTCTGGCATATGTGACAGGCAGTGCTACTTCCTAAGGGGCCCGCATATGTCATATATGCAAGACAAACAATATTCACTACCAGGCCTCGTCTTGCAGGTATGCCAGACGCTACACACTTTATCTTATGGGTTATTAATTGCTGGCCTGCCATGAACATATTGGTATATTTGGTTTGAGAAAATTCGAATAATGACATAGGTACTACACTCAAAGAAAATGCTTGGTAAAATCAACCAAAAAAATATGGTTAAAAAATCTTGTTTGCAAACAATTTTTATTGTCATTTTCAACAATATATTTGTTTATTTATGATCTAAACATTTCATAGTCCCTAAACTACTTTATTAGTTTACATAAACAACTAATAGTTGAGCAACCATAATATCTTGTACAGCAACCTTATTAAATAATATATTGACCACAGTTTTTGTTCTCCACCTACATATTTATTGTTCAGTTACTATTTTTTGTTTTCTTGCCAATTGAATTGTATATTTGACCATATTTTATTAATTAAAATATGGTCAAATATACAATTCAATCTAATCATTACTAATTATTGGTAATAATTGGATTAGGTGTTTAGAATAAAATTATTTTTTTTTTTTTTTCAAAAAACAGTTTAATAATCAAAGATAAAACAAATTATTTCTTAACAATATAAAATATAAACATACTAAATAAATTACATTATAATGGGTAGAGTATAGGAGGTAGGTATGGTATATTTTCAAATCTCACGTTATATCCATAAGGCAAATTATACATACGAATATGGGTGGGTAGTGAAATTGACCATGTAGATACTTTCTGGAAAAAAGCATAAGCACTATGATAAATGCATAATGTTATTTTTTCACTCACATTTTCTATTTTCCATTCAGTAAGTTTTTGCTGCAATTCAATTCTAGTTCCTAATGTTGGGAAGTCCGCTCCTTTGAAGGATCCATAATGCATAATTTCCAAAATGAAAAATGTGTAGTCTTTTAACAGCTCGTGAAGATAAGGCAACTTTTCTTCTGTGATTTATTGGGCTGAAAAAAATAATTTAGATGGGTTAAAAATAGTATCTTATACCATATACCACCTATCCAGTAAATTTCGCAGTTCCGAGTCTTCGCTATAATAGACGTCTTCTTTGTCAGGCGAGGTTTGCATTGAGGGTTGACCCGACACAGTTTATAAATGGGTTATTATTAGCTGGCATCGTATTAACTAAATCTGTATATTCAAGATCTTAATGAATTCCTGTGTCCAAATCCATTATAGCAAAGTACTTATCTTACCAGAAAAAAACTGTATTTCAGGAACAGGAACAGAACAAATACGCCTATTTATTGTGAACTCACTACACTGAATGTATTCCATCTAGGTATCAAACTTGAATGATTTAAACCAACAATATGTTTGGTTTAAAAATAATTGAGCGTGAATTTACCTTTGAATTTGTTTTTCCAAAAAGAAAATAGTTCGCGAACCTGAGTGATGGGTGAAATTATCATATTAAAATAGTAAAATAGACAATATTGTGGTAATAATTACTTTCACCATAAAGTTTGTTCTGTTCAACAATAAAATAGTGTACAGTAAACTTATAGTAGATTAAATAACCACAAAGTAGTTGAAGTACCCTATTTTTTGTTTGCTTTAACAACTTATTAGTTAGATGCTTCAATAATAGTCAATCTTGACCATTTTTAACTGCTGACTAAACATTAATACTTGTTAGTGCTTCAAAAATAATAGTACATCGACTAAAATGCTGGTAGATCTACTATTTTTTAGTATTATTTGACAGTATTCGACAAGTTATTAGTTACATGACAAAGTAATGGTTTAATATAGCTATTTTTGAAGTGAAATTCCATTTGGTTCTGCAACAATTTTGTATTGATTGTGATAACAATTAGCTTTTGTTTAAGAATACTATAAATATAGTTTAATTTAACAAAATTTGCCGAATTGTTAATTATCTATTCTTTTTGGTTAAAATAACCTATACTATTCTTTGAGTGTATGTTTTTTCGGGAATTTAAATTAGACAACATAGTAGTTTTAGGTTTATTGTTCAAAAATAATTATTTCAAACTCACAAAACAAAAAATAAACGTTATTTCAGGAACTGAAATTATGTTCTAGCTTCCAAAAATACAAATAAAAAGCTACTTCCTGGAAAATGTATATGCACTAAAACTAATTATGATTTGAATTGAAACAATCTAAACATATTGAAGTTCATCTGGGCACTTTTCACAATAGGTATAGACCATCTTTGATTAATTTTTAGCAACTTTTCTACCTTAATAAATAAATAGCGTCTGTCATATACAGGGTGTCCCAAAAAGATACCGACAAACTTTAAGGAGTAGTAGGGGACATCAAAACAAGCAATTTTGTTTATATAAACATATGTCCGCAAATGAGCCATTTGGGCTGTAGAGCAAAAAAACTGTTTGGTACTTTTATTCTTCGCAACTCACTGTTTACTTATTAATTTTGCTTTATTAACAAATAAATTATGGTTTACAATAATTGTTCAAAATGTTGACCATTTACTTCAATGCAAAGATTGCACCGTCGGGTCATTGACTTAAAAGTTTGGTCTACGAAACACCTGTTCGTAATGACGAAAATCTGTTAGCAAGGATACTGGCGAGTTGTACCCATGTCGAAGCTATTTCCGGAATATTCCGATGAACCGACGGTGCAATCTTTACATTGAAGTAAATGGTCAACATTTTGAACAATTATTTATTTGTCAATAAAGCAAAATTAATGAGTAAACAGTGATTTAATTTTTGCAAAGAATAAAAGTACCGAACAGTTTTTTTGATCTACAGCCCAAATGGCTCATTTGCGGACATTGTTTATATAAACAAAAATGCTCGTCTTAATGTCCCCTACTACCCCTTAAAGTTTGTCGGTATCTTTTTGGGACACCCTGTATGTGCCAGACGTGGCCTTCTACGGTAAAAAAATCTGAAAATTACCGTGAGGGGCCACGTCTGGCGTATATGAAAGACATTACAAAAATGGAAGAAAAAGGCCAAAATAAAAAATGAAACATCAATTATCCAAAAAACTACAATTAGAACAGGCGCTACAAGTAGTTGAGTATGCAAAATGTGAGGACCGGCAAAAATGCTCATATTGGTGTTCCTGTGATCTTGAGGAATGGGAAAGTACATCTTGCCGGCAGCTGGAGTGGTCCCTAACTCTCCTGCCATCCCCCAATGCAAAGTTATGACTGTGAGATGTACAGGGTCATCCAACAACGACTGAACAGGGGCTTATTTTTGACCTTCCCTGTTCCTGTAGTTTTGAAAAAGTTCAAAATAGCCAATTGGCATATTTCTTTCTGGAGACTTCAAAAATGGTACCAGAAAATCATTTGTACTAAAAACCAAAGAGTTACGCCATGGATAAACTGTTTTTCAAATGGAACACCCTGTTTATTATATAATTTCTGGAAAAGTCGCATTTTTAATGTCTATTCCTTTGAAAATATTTCCGATAGCTATTTTTATTTTATTTTAATGTTTTATCCCTAATAATTTCAGCTTCACCTGTTCAATACATCTGTGATGGCGACAAAATATGTCAAATTTCTTTAGACTTTGAACAAAAGGTGATTATACCTCTATCACCTATGAACCTATTAAATTGAAAAGGAAAAGCTGAAATTATTAAGCATAAAACATTAAAATAAAATAAAAACAGCGGAATATCAAATAATTTCAACAGAATTGACGTAAAAAATGCGACTTTTCCAAAAATCATTCAAAAACAAAGTGTTTCATTTGAAAAACAGTTCACCCATGGCGTAACTCTTCGGTTTTTGTTTCGAATGATTTTTCTGTACCATTTTTGAATTCTTCAGAAAAAATTATGCCAATTGGCTATTTTGAATTTTTTCAAAACTACAGAAACAGGGAAGGTCATAAATAAGCCCCTGTTCAGTCCTCGTTGGATGACCTCTTTTACTTGTGTATATTTTGGAGCAGAATTGCAAAGATATCCAACAAGTGGTAGGTAATTTATTTTGAGTGCTTGAGAAAAAAGCCTTATAGGTACTAATCAATAGGAATTATTGTGAAATGACTTAAAATTGTGATATTCTCAATATAACTTTCCATTGGGGGATGGCAGGAGAGTTAGGGACCACTCCAGCTGCCGGCAAGATGTAGTTTCCCATTCTTAAGGATCATAGGAATACGAATTTGAGCATTTCCGCCGGTCCTCACATTTTGCATACTCATATCCGTCCAACTCCCGGTCTAGATCGTTTTATTTTTACCGCTCACTATTGTTGAATAGTAATAATATTCGTCATCGACATTGAATTACTTATTGACACCCTCTACATAGGTAATGATAATACATATTTGAAACGAGACCTTCCAATTTGCATTGCATGATTATATAGTTTCTTGATAAAAATCCAAGTTTAATTCAGAACAAATACCTAATGACCTCCTATATCACAATGTCTTTATTTAATAATTTTGCATTCCTGCCAATGTCAGGCAAACATTACCTTGAAAAGTGTTTTTTCGAGTCTTATAATATGCTCACCTTAATAATTCTTGTATTTGATTTATCTTAAAATTTATCTCTGAGTTTTGAGAATGTTTTCTATAAATTTATTACAAAACATAATTACGCCATAACGCAAATACATTTCGTTTTCTATTTGTTTGATTATATGATATTTTTTGTTTTGAGAAATCAGCGATAATTCACATTAATTTCAAAATAATTCTTATTTTTAGCTTTTGCTTCACACTCATTTAACTCAACTGATGGTCAATTTTGTTGAATAATCTCTTTCCTTGAAGTTTGAAGTAGTTTGCATATACATATTAGCGTAACAGCATATGCTAGTTAAATGTATATTTATTTTACAAAGCTTAAAAATAAAACAAAATTTATAACTGAAAATGTAGATAGTATCAAGAAGTTATACCTACCCATTCTATTTAAACTCACCTAATAATGGTTACAAGTACAAAAAAAAACACAAACTTCAAAATTCTTAAAGTAAATTTATTTACAGCAATTATACCGAACATAAATAATATTAATAATACATCATCACAGCCATTTTTTGTAGGAAACCCCCCCAACCAAAAAGTAAAATCACACATCAAATTAAATGAAATATTTAATCCTAATTACAAATCCACCTCTGTTCTATGCTTTCGTTGAACTTGTTCTCATTAATTTCATTGTTGTTTTGACTTGGCGTCATCTCGTATTCCAGTACTGTGATTTCGGTGGATACACTGGCCCTTCCAAATGTCGACACCGAGATGATCGACTGATGGTGACATTTTCTTTTGTGGTACTTTTTTTGTAGATGGTTCGTCCAATTTTTGAATACCTGTTGGTAGAAAAGATAAATTTAGATTTTAAATAAATCGATAAGGCCTGAAAAATTATTGTTTTTTGTGTTTTTGTTGTTAGTAGGAAACTGGATGTTATTGAAGTTTTTTGGGAGACTGGTTTAATTTTCATTGCCTAAGATTTTAATTATTTCAACTAAACCTCAGGTGAATGGGAAATAATAAGTGGTAATCAAATTTCGAAGACACAAATTCAAATGCATTTACTTCGTTCTAATTATAAGTAACGACAATAGCTGCCTATTTTACTCAGAAGCCAGCAAACTTATGTGAACTAGATTTTAACGGCAGTTGAAGTTAAATCAGTGCAACAGAAATTTTATGTTCATTGAACATTGGAATTAAATCAATTGAAACTTAATAAATTTAGTATTAGCTTTACAGCATCAATACCAAAATAGATTAGTTAAGTAAGATGACTACTGATTACTTAGATATAACATTGCCAGATTTTCAAATATTCGAATGTACTATTTTAGTAAATTTACTACAATTATCTTACAGGTAAGCCCTAAACTGAGTCTTCTATTCGTTATTCAAAAGAATTTTCAATAATGATGATGAAACTTTTAAACAAATTTCAATGAGTGAATATTATAATTAGTGAATATTATAATTTAGTACTTACTTTTAACCAATTCTGGCCAGGCCCAGTAAAAAACTTTTTCACTGACATTTTATGAATAATTAATTCAACAAATAAATACAGATAAATTGTTAATCACTCGAATCAAAATTTCACTGTAGCAGTCACTTAGTAGTCTGGGCAACGTATAAAAATCAAATGATGTCGGCATCGAGGTTCACACACAGTTTTATCGGACTATAGCGTCCCCTCTTTCGTATTTCCACGCGGTTTACACTTGACTCTCTGCTATATTTAATGCACCCTCTTCAATTTAATCCACCCCCTGATTATTTAACCAGCCAGAAAGGAAATGTAATTGTCGTTTCCCACACTTGAGCCATATTATTTTGCCCGTGAGAATTTCCCGTTTCCTTATTTTGGCTTTTTGAAGTGGCTGCGCTTTAATCAGTTAATGCTTTTATTGATACTGTATTGTTTTTTTTTTTTTTTTGATGAGCTATAAATAATAATATGTTTTCCAAAATACCAAATATGTAAGATTGAGTAGTTAACGTGTTTACGTATTTTGAATATTTTTTTATGGAAAAAATAACGTCCTGTGGGCCTTGCGGTCTCCCGACATTTATTTTATTGTAGTTTTGTTTATTTGGTATTGTTTGTCTTGACGGGTGGATGTGTAAAGCCCAATTTCAGTAAACATCATCCACCTTCCTTCTTCGTCTGATTTAGTAATTTCTGGTATGATCCCTGATCCCTAGCATCATTATTTCCATGGATCAATATAGAATCACTTGCGTGGGGACTTCGCCTTAATGGGGACATTTAACCATAAGCATTTTGATGAATTTTGTAGTTGTTGTTCCTCCTAACTTTATCAATTCAACTGCGATTCCGTCCTCTCCTTGAGCTTTTCTGTCCAAGACAAGTTCTATCTCTTATGTGGGGATGTCTGGCAATTCCTCAGACCCAATATTCACGATGTTTTCATTTATATTTAACTGAATGGAATTCTCTGCGGAACTCTTCTACAGTATTAGTTAATCCTCGGTTGTCTTGTGTTAAATTTCTATCTGTGTCCCTTAATGTATACATTTTTGCAAGTCTATTAGTGCTGATCGTTTTCAGGCTTATCGTATTTTTGATCTTTTCCATAACCGTTTTAGGTTCTCAGTTTATTGGTTGTATTCTTCTCGTGTCGTATCTAATTTGATATTGGACGTTATTTCTTTCTCTAAGTTGTTAATGCTCAGTGTCCATAAGTTTTCCTGATCGAAGAGTTTTTTATTTGAGTTTTTTACTATCATTATTATTATTATTATGGATATCAGTAATAGGCCGGATGGGTAACTGATGAGACCACTGAGTCTTTAAGGTTTTCTCAGTTTGTTCGCAAATTATGCACAAAAATATTGTGCCAGCCCCTCATTTCTGGATTCAAAAGGTTTTTAAATTGATTCACTGGATGTTGCACTAATTGTATCATGACGAAGTCTATTCCACGGATAAATCATTCTGTTTTTCAAGAAATTTCTTCTCAGTAACTTGTTACATCTTTCCTTCTCAAGTTTCTGGTTATGTCCTCTGCTATTGGTGGCGTTAGTGGCGAGAAAGAAGTTAATGTCACATGCATAGTAGTGATCATTCAGTATTTTGTAAATTTCAGTTACGACTTCCCTAGTTCTTCTGAGTTCATTAGGTATACGACGCTGTACTCTATCATTTAGTTCAATGTCTTTGATGTAATATGGGCTCCAGATGAAATGGGTGTATTCCAGCTTTGGTCCTACATACGTTTTGTAGAGTTTTAGAACCATTTCTTTAGATAGATTTTTAAATGAAGTAGATTACCTAGTGAATTGGCTTTTTTGTCATTTTAGTGATGTATTGTTCCTATTTCAAGTCTGATGTGATTGTTATTCCTAGTTTTTTGTGGCACGAAACTTTTTTAATTGACGTTTGTTGAAACAGGTAATCATGTTCATGGTTATTCCGGCGATATGCAGAACTGTGCACTCGAGGTCATTCAATGGCATTTTCCAAGATATTGTCCACTGTTTTATGGTGTACAGGTCTTTCTTTAGGTCTCCAAACTATAGTAGTGGATTTCAGGATAGGCTTGTGGCACCTGCAAACGATTCATATTGAGTCTCCAGTGTTTGGTATAGGTCACACAAGTACGCCAAGAAGAGCAAGAGTTTCAAGACGGAGCCTTGTGGTACGCCGCTGTGTACAGAATATTCAACTGAGAGTGATATTCCTGTAGCAGTAAATCGCCCCTGACTCCAAAATGAGGTTACTTGTATAATAAGTACATTGTTGGTATTTTATCAAATGCTTTTTCAAAATCAAGGAAAACTACATCAATTGGATCATTCTCATCATTCGCCTTTGTCCACATATTGATTCTGGTTAGGAGGTTTAATTTAAACAAAAAGCGATTATGCAGAAGGTAGAATAAAAAATGTGTTACAAGGTATCTATAAAAAGGTAAAGGTACAGGTATAGGTGTATCAACAATACAAACAATAGGGAATTTTCATATTTCTCAAATTATTTTTTTTTAGATACTTCTAGTGATCAGTTATTACATAGTTTTCTTTGTTTCCATTTTAATTTATACGTTGTACGAAAAAAAAATTATTGAAATTCAAATCAAAAACTTTGGCGCGAAAACACAAAATCTCAATATGACAGCGTTTGTGACGTTAAAAGATTTTGTAAACAACAAATACGTAGTTAACGAACTGCTGCTGACGCACTGCTATTTTTGTGTTATTCAAGTGTGTTTAAGTTTGCTTTTTGTGAAAATTGTCGAAATGGATGAAGAATATTGTAAAGGACTGCTTTTGTATTTTTTTTTTACTTGCAAGTTCCCTATGACAGGTTTGTTTACAGAATCGTGACGTCAAAAAAGGTAGCCATCATGGAAGCATTGTTGGCGGGAAATTTTTTATTCCAAATTTAATATTACTTTTTGTGTAACAAGGGCGGTATTAGTTAGATAAAAACCGGTCATATAAATGTTTTGCAGTATAAACTATCGATTTAAAACAAATTTGGAAAATTTTAGTTCACATGCAAGTTCCCTATTCCATGTCACAATTGGCCACGTTCACCAGAACCAAAACGGATTGTAAACAGTTTACAAATACCAACAGAATATGTTAGGTAAACTCTTGGTTCTGCTGAACGATTCAACTTTTCAATGATAGAAGGTCACCTTCTAAATGACAGGTCACCACACAAAACACAGTGTTGAAAATTATAAACACTCTGAAATTATGCTTGCAAAAATGGCGACCGTTTGCAAAACATGTTTGGTTTTAACACAAATTCAACGTAGCGTTCAGCAGAACAATCGCAAACCGTTTACCAACGTTTTTATCTGGTGAACGCGGCCAATGATTATTTCAAACTCTTCCCGCACCGGTGCGGGAACAAAGTCTTCCCGCACAGCAAATCGTGCGGGAAGAGCCATTTCCCGCACGCTCGTAGAAAAACCATGTTGTTGGGGTGGTACAATATGAGCTTCTAGGATACGTTTTCATAAGGCGCTGGTCAGGCTGACTGGTCTGTAGTTTTCTACTAGCTTTTTGTTACCCTTTTTGAATATAGGTATAATAACTGCTTTTTTCCATGGTTGTGGGAAATCTCCTGTGGATATTATGTCATTCATAAGTGCTGCCAGAGTGTGCAAACAATTTTTGGGAAATATAGGAGGGATCTCATCAAATCCCTGGACTGAATGGCGATCTCAACCTTTTCTGGGGTGAAATTTATTGTGTTGATTTGTGTTAGGATTCAACTTGAAGTGTTGGTTTAATATCTGTTTAGTAAAAACACTCTGGAATTGCTGTGCAAAAAGACTCTGCAACCTCCTGGTGAGCAGTGTTCCCAACCTCTCAGATTAATAATTCCCTTGATGGATCCCAAAAATTCCCTATTTTATATGTTTTAGAGTTAAAATTCCCTGCTTTCAATGTTGCCAATAGGCCTTTTTGGAAACACTGATCCGATCACCAGCTGATGTACTTTGTCTTTTTTCAATCGTGTTCATTAGAGAAAGATAAAAAACAATCAGTTGGTGATCGGGTTAATAATTCCCTATGCAGTGCTTCCGAAAAAACCTTACGAGTACATCTAAGTTGCCAAATCACTTTACCTATATCAAAACCAAAAATATCTTCTTTCTATTGTGTATATGATAAAACAAAAAATTGAGTCGTTTGGATGATTAAACGGATTACAAACAAATTGCAAAAATTAAGCATGAGCACTAAAATAAATACAACTGGGAACCCCCGAAACCGAACCTTGCTGCGTTCGGCTATGTCACTCCGCGCGCTCCGCGTAACTCCGTACCCACTCCAGGCGTTCGAGTATTGCTTTTCGGCGTAGGTAGAGTGACATCGCTTACTCCTCTCCATATCCGTGCTGAACACAACTTCTGTCTTCATCGATGCCAATTTTCTATTTCTCAAAAATTCCCTCATTTCGACGATTTTATAAAAAAAAATCCCTTTTCCCTTTTGGGTGCCAAAATTCTCTAAAAAGGGAAAATTCCCTGCAGTTGGGAACACTGCTGGTGAGATTCAAATGGGACTAGAGTTGCTTTGTCAACAACACTGAAGTGAGTGAGTTTAGAGTTGAGGTTAAAGAACTGTTGGATGTTTTTCAACAGATTTTGTTCATATTCTTTTCTTGCTATGACTGTACAACTTTCAACCCTATTATTTTAATGCTGGTATTGGGCTCTTTCACTAATTTTTGAAATTGGCATATTTGGATAAAGCAACTAAAAACAGAATTTTCTGTATTTTTACTTTTGAAAAATTCATAGTCCTTCTTGAGAAAACAGAAAAAAAAGAAATACCTCCAAATAAAAACCCAGAATTTATTTCTATGACGTCGCAGCTCGCAATTTGACCGTGTTGCCACTAATTGTCAACATTGAAAATTTGTAATAGATTTAATTCTGAAATGTTCGTAAAATATCATGAAAAGTAGTTAAATTAATTAGTTATGGATTCAAGATTTTATAACATTTTTATTGAAATTATGCTTAAACACAATTTAATATAATTTTTTATGTTTAGTTTTATTTATTTTACGTTGCACCACATTTAGTCGCCACCGACAACAGCGCATTCGAACCTTTACCTGCATTTACTACAGGGTAAATACAGCCGAGGCGGTCAGCTCCTTCCAACAACAAGCGAAATAAAAAATATTTATGCGACGTCAGCAAATCGGCGCGTTTTTAATTAATTTGAATTTTGCTAGTTTAATATGCCTGTAAAAAACTTATTTAACCTTGTAGAACATTTTTTTTTGATATATATATGCCTAAAATAGTCCCTCCTTTGGGATTTTATACTTAAATTACG